CTCAGAAAAAACTCCTCTCAAACGATGATCCAGGAGAAAATGGCAAATTTCAAAGCGCATTTGCTAAAGAGAGGCTACCCAGCGGACCTCATTAACATTAAAATCCTCTCAGAGGTGAATTTCAAAAACAGGAAATTAGCTCTTCAACAGAAACTGAAGACAAACCAACGAATCTTCCCTTTTGTTACACAATACCAGCCATCAGTACCACACATAAAGCAAATTCTCATGAAAAACTGGCATTTAATAGAAACACAACCACTACTGAGCGAACTATACAACAATCCTCCACTCGTATCCAACAAAAGAGGGCGGTCGCTCAAAGACATACTCGTGAGGGCTAAACTTTGAATAGGCTACTCTAAACACGCGCTGGGGAGTCATGTAGGCCTGTCCACCCCATTTAACACATTGATTGCCTTTTTCTAAAATCTTCATTTGCTTCATTACAGGGATAGTTCAGTAGCTCATTGTAGGTCATTGTAGATCATTGTAGGTCATTTCAGGTCATTCCTTGTTTTCGTAACTATGACATCGGAATAGTCAAAATTGTAACTTTACATTCACTTCTCAGTACCCTTCTCGCAAAATTCATTTTTCTCAAGGCACGTCAGAATAGTCCAAATGGTAACATTCCCTTCTCAGCACCCTCCTCACAATTGCAAACCAAAGCTCACAGCCTGGACACCTCAGTTTATTGAGCAGAACATCCTTTTTTAATAAGCAGATAATTTGACAGCCATAGCGTCGTTTATAAAAGATTAAAAATTCGGGTTGTTTAACTCATGCCGCATAACCAAAATTTAAAATTTGCTTTATATTTTCAGACATTTAATCTCTAACGCATTCTGAAGAAATAAATCAGTTCCATCTATTGACCATGTACCATAGTGGTGCATATTCTCTCATGGTTATTCTTTAATTGATTGTTTAAAACCACCATTTTAAATAACTTCTCTTAAACGAACTAGAGTTGCTGCGAAACATTAAAAAAGGGGAGGGAAAAGATTCGGGTCTTCGTTTTTGGGTCTGTGTTTTCGGGTCTTACGTCTTCGGTCTTCGTTTTCGGGGGTCTTGGTTTTCGCTACAACCACTGGCAGGGTATGCAATTTTGCATAAATTACAAAATAATATCAGCTAACCGAAGTCCACCAGTATGAAAGAAATGTTGGAAATTGCACATGTTTTTTTTTTTTGTTTTGGCTGGAAAGCCCTGCCAATACCTAAATCACCCCATAAATTATCAAATCAGATTTGGTAAAAACCAATCAGCATTTTAGTCAAACAATTGGCATCGTGTGTCAGCCTGTCACAGCCTCTTCCCAAGATCCTGGAAACCCAGTGGGGCATTGGAGTATGATAAGCTACAGCGTTACATGGACCTCTCTTTTCCACATGCAACAAAGGAAATAGATGTCTGCATGCAGTGAGGAGTTGCTTGGTGAGTGTTTTTAATAGAGTTTTGGATCTATGTGTGAACAAAAAGTATACTTTTTTGTATACTTTTGTGTATTGTTATGTTTACATTTTTTTATAATTTTGCATCCTTTTTGCATAGTGACTATATTTTGAGAGTGAGCTTTGTAGTTGATATGGTTTATTTAGTGTACCTTTGTTGCCACAATCACAAATATGTCATGTATGCATAATCTCTATACAGATCATTGTTACTCATAACTGTGCCTTTGAATTTTCTTTTTTTTTTTTTAAACTGGAAATTTAAGACGTATGGCAGCTTGACCAAGGTAGTGGCTGTAGCTGAAGCCAGATTAAGAGCCTTTCCAATCTTAGAGACAAAAAAATTTCCAAATCACATGTAGTTTGTAGATGAGACTGTTTTAGGGGCATTTCATTGGCTAGACCATGAGAAATGTGCAGGTGCAAATTTATGAATAGCTAAATGCATCAAATGACTCTGAGCTTGTCCACCACGATATGATTAAGATATCTATCCAAGGTACAAAAAATGTAGCAAACCGAGTACTGATTCTGATATTACTTTCAAATCTGTTTATGACTATATATTTACATCAATTAGGACCCAGGACTCTCTTTTGTCAGATGCTGTGTTGTGAGACCATTTTGTTCTTTTGCATTAAAGATTTCGGGTAGATTAAGGGAGGTTTGGGTTTTAAATTGATGTTTTCTTTGCAGGAGAGGGAAATTAGAACAGAAAGAGGGCTGCAAACCACCACTTTGGTAGTGGAGTCATTAGACTCCACTCACAACAGCCATCGGGCATCTGAAGAAGGGATCAAAGCAGCAGTGGCAAGAATTCAATCCAGGTGGCCATGGTTTGGGAGATGGTGTTGTACATGTGCCTATGGATTGGTGAGCAACTAGCATTCTTTCTTTTTTATGAAGAGTTAATAATCGAATGGCAGGTTCTATCAGTCATTTTGATAGCAATGGTCAAAAATTGCAGAGAAAGCTGTTGCTTTGAGACTCCTGAAATCATGAAGACCAGAAATATTCCTGTAACCTGAGACAAGAAGAGCAAACCAATCAGGCCTGAGGGAACTATCTCCTGTGGCCTAAAATGCCAATTTTTTTGTGGTTTTATGGTTTGTTTGCATATATCTCATTTTCTATTTGTAGTTACTGTACATTCCAATTTCCTCAGGTCACCAGGCTCTGTTATCATAACAGATCATAACACAAAGGCCTTTAACATATTCTCCAAATTATCAAAAAGGGCAAGATTTGATGTATGTAGTCTATACTGGATCTTATGAATAGGCTGTGCAAGAGAATATTATGAAGAAACTTTACTGTGTGATGTTTATTTCAAATAAGAGCATAAAGCAAAATGTTAGACAGAATGTTTTTGAAAATCTTAAATAGCATAGGGATTAAAAACAAAATGCTTGAATGTTCATTTTAAATTAAAGGTCACAAGTTTAAGATAAGGGTATATTTTTTTATTTAATTGTGCTGTTGACTGTAGTTTTTATGTTAATAGCATAATAACCAAGATGTCGATGCAATTTGTACAGATTGTTTCAAGTACAAGTACTGGTAAGTATGGATACCAAACACATTAGATTTTTCAACCATCTTTGCTCTTCTGTACTTGTGAATTTGATACTGTTCAGTAGCTAAAAGAATTAGCATGGAAATCAGAAAAAAATTGATCTGTAACAATTAAATCAGCTAGCACACTGGACCTCATTTGAAGGTGTCCTAGGTTTGAGCCCCATTTAAGGTCACTATATTGTGTTAGAGGAATATAGGTACTTAGTCCTGGAGTGCCTTTCTCTAGAAATTTGTAGAATTATAAATGAACACTGGTGAACTCACTAAAACCTGAGACTAACAGATAACATACTGGTATTATAAGAGATTACAGTAGTTTTTGCAAAGAGCCATATTTAGCTAACCTCAGCGAAATCAACTGGCCAGGTTTATATTCCACCTCCACTGTTCTTCATGAGATAACTAATACATGTATAAACAAAGTGAAATATTTTGTCAATAAGTATGCCCCTTTAAAAAAAGTAATTAATTCTAAATTGAAACAATTCAACAAACCTTGGTTAAACAAAAGGGTTTTTAAAATCAATTAAAAGGAAACAAAAAGATGTATAAATCGCATTTTCTCAGCAAAGATTCAAGGAAGATAAAAGAGTATAAACGATAATCCAATCTACCTAACAAAATAAAGGCCAAAGCCAAAGATAAATATTATAACAAATATTTTCAGCTGTACAAAGAAGCTTATTGGGTGTGGTAATGAAAGCCAAAGCTCAATCAAGTTACCCTTCTTCATAAGAAAAAGTAAGGTCTGCGCCAGTAGGAGAGTTAACACAATGAACCAAGGCACGTCCAGATAGTGAAAGGCTTTAATCACAACAGGAAAACTAGACCCCGAACGAGTAACAAACAATATGGCCGACGCCACGAGGAGAAGCCCATCAAAGCGCAAGCTCAACCCAGATACCGCTGACCGGTACTGGCGCTGCACTAATGAACTTGACATTGCTAACTGATTTAATCAGCACTTCACTACAATTGGCCCTTATCTTGCTAGTGTAATTAATCCTACTTAAGACAACCCCACTAAATATATACGTAATAGCCCCACAAATAGCTTCTATTTATCAGCTGTCACTGAAGAATATGTGACTTAGCTACTTTCAAATCTAAATGAAAGAAAGGCTTCATTAGATATTCCTAATAAGTTAATAAAACTAATGCTAGTCATGAATTATCTAAACCTTTCACATACATTTACAATCAGTCAATCATACAAGGTATTGTACCTAATGTACTTAAAGTCTCAAGAGTAACTCCAATATTCGAATCTGGGGATGCGACAGATCCTGCAAATTATAGACCCATAGTAGTTTTATCACCATTTAGTAAAATCCTAGAAAAAATTGTTAAGGATCAACTCACCTCATTTCTAGACAAATACAATATCTTGTTCAAATACCAGTTTGGGTTTAGAAAAGACTATTCCCCTGCTTAAGCTTGCTATTTTAGAAATAACTGACGCTCTTAAAACCTCAATTGATAACAATCTCATAACATGCGGGGTCTTTCAAGATTTCTCCAAAGCTTTTGATACTGTCAACCATAGATACTGCTAAGGAAATTACCTAAATATGGAGTACGTGGAAAAGCTTTAGATTGGTTCACAAGTTACCTCACTAATAGAACTCAATATGTGAAACTAGGTCATGTTGAATCCAATTATCTCCAGATTGTTTGTGGAGTTCCTCAGGGATCAACCCTTGGACCACTATTATTTCTTCTTTACATGAATGATCTTGACACCTCTTCAGATATGCTTTCCTTTCGACTTTTTGCTGATGATGCTAATATTTTCTTTGCCACTAAAACATCAAAAGATCTTGATCGAGGTATTTATGAACTAAGAACTTCAGAAAGTAATTAACTACTGTAACCTCAATAAACTGTCTATTAAGATGAAGAAAACAAATTTTATGATAATAACATCTCCACAGAAGTCAACTATACACAATATTAATATTTTAAACATTGATCGCAAAGCTAGTATCAAATATTTAGGTATTTATTTAGATGAGCATTTGAATTGGAAAACTCAAATAGCACATGTACAAAGCAAACTGACATAAAAACCTTGGAATCTTCTACCAACTGCAGAATTACCTAAATTTAAAGATGCTAAGACAACTATATATATATCTTATTAACCAAGTACAAGGGCCGTACTGGGAGAATTTCGGCCTGAGGTCTTGACAGTACGGACTGAGCGCAGCGAGGTCCGTACAAAAAAGACTGAGGGCCGATATTCTTCCAGTACGGTCCCGAGCAAGCTTGGTTAAGAAGAGATTTATTATACGACTGAAGTTCAAAGGGACACAAGTGCGGTATCATTTGGGACCATTCGGAACAGTGCCCGGTCCAATACTTAGAGAATATTGGACCGGCAATAGAGCATTTTGATTGGTTGATTTTAGTTAATGGCCCTCTGACTGCACGAGTCGTGTAATAATATGCACTTATTTACCCTTACCTTGATTATGGTGCAATGTGTTGGGGCAACACTTATCAGACTAATTTAAATAAGATCATTACTAAGCAAAACAAATGCATCCGAAGTATCTCTTTTGCAAACAAACGGGAACCCTCTTTCCCTTACTACCAAATCCTTGAAATTTTAAAATTTGACAATGTTAGATTCAAAATCTGCTCACTCGCACTCAA